CTACAATTTGTTGTGACTATAGATTAACTTTGAATTCCCGTTTATTGAAGTAAACGTGCACGACGGTAGAAGCTGAAGATATTCTAAATCGACTTCATGGTTCTAAAGTGTTCTCGAAAGTTTGCCTAAAAGATGCTTATCTTCAAATTCCTTTAGATGAATCTTCATCTATTTTTACGACAATTAGCACTCCGTTTGGTCTGTTCAAATACAATTTCCTTCCATTTGGTCTAAGTTGTTCTCCAGCCATATTTCAGGAAGTTATGAATAAAGTAGTTAGTGGTCTTGAAGGTGTTGAAGTTTATCAAGATGATCTCATTGTTCATGGTTTTAATAAGGTAGTTCATGACCAGAGACTTATTGTTTTATTACGTCGTTTAATTGAGAAGAATATTACAGTGAATCCAAATAAGTGTTCATTTTGTGTATCTAGTTTTGAATGTCTTGGATACCTAGTTGATGGTAATAGTTTTAGACCAGATATGAAACGACTAGCCCCACTGACTAATGCACCGTCTCCGAAAAATCTTACAGAATTACGTTCACTAATGGGTGCTCTTCAATACTGTACCCGTTTTATTCCCAATTTTTCTTGTCGTGCAAATTGTTTATTTAATATTTTGACATGCAGTTCATTCAAATGGAGTGAGGAACAAGAGTCATACTTACGAAGTCTACTGAAGTTTCTTCAAAGTGATGCTGTTCTTCGAACTTACTCCACTAATCTACATTCTGTGCTTATTACTGGTGCATCACCTGTGGGAATTGGTGCAGTTTTGGAACAGGAAGGTAGACCGGTTATTTGTGTTTCACGCAAACTTACTTTTACTGAACAAGGTTATTCACAGACTCAGCGGGAAGCATTAGCTGTGTTTTGGGCTGTTAAAAGACTTCATAAATATTTATTCGGAAAGAAATTCACTATTGTTACTGATCATGAAGCTTTAAAGTTTATTTATCATCCCGAAAAATCCTTAGCACGTTCCTCAGCTGCTATGGTTCAGCGATGGAGTATTGCTTTGAGTGCATATGACTATACGGTTCAGCACAGAAGTGCCAAACAGATTCAACATGTTGATTACATTCCTCGATAATCATTACAAGATTAACCTGTTATTACTTCAGTGTTTGTCAGTGCAACCTTTACCAGTGAGACGTTCAGATCTCATTAGAGAAACTCGTAGATATTTTGGATGCATACTCAGTGCTATAAGGAAAGGTTGGAATGCTAATTTGAAACGTAGATTTCCTGTCTATTTTTCAAATCGGGATGAGCTATCTACTACTCCTGATGGTATTCTGTGTTTAAATGATCGTGTTGTCATTCCTCCTTCATTGCGTAAATCTGTTCTTGAAGATCTTCATAGTGGTCATTTAGGTGTTGAGAAAATGAAGTCCTTGGCAAGGCTCACATGCTGGTGGCCAGAGATAAATGCAGATATATGTCGTACGGCAAACAATTGTGAGAAATGTCATCAGTGAAAAATCATCCTTCGGAGTGGGTGCCATGGCCAGTATCGTCTGAGGCCTGGCAGAGGATTCATGCTGACTATTGATGTCCGTTTCTTGGTAAATACTACGCACTAGTAGTCATTGATTCTTTTTCAAAGTGGCCTGAAGTTTTTTCACAACTTCACCAAATTCTGATTTCACAATACAAGCATTAAGAAAGGTGTTTAGTCGAGAAGGTGTTCCCATGGTGTTGGTGACTAATAATGGCTCACATTTTGCTGCAGATGCAGTCACTACTTGGTTGAACGGTATAGGGTGCAAACATCTGTTTACTGCTTCCAGACATCCTTGTTCTAATGACCAGGCAGAGAATTTTGTTAGGACATTAAAGACTGCTATTGGTTCTATAGCCGCCTCAACATTTAATGAGCTGGAGAGGGGAGTAGATACTTTTCTATTGCAATATAGAAATGCCAGACGTTCGGTGACGAAGGAGACTCCAGCGAAGCTATTGAAAGGAAGAATTCTTCGGTCGAATATGAGATGTTTGGAGTCTGCAGAAGTTACATACTATCGAGGAAATGATCTTCGACCATCTACGGGTATTGTTCTGAAGAATGTCGGAAAATCGATGGTGCGAATTCTAGACATCGATGACTTAAGTACACACAGTCGACATGTAGATCAAATACAATTTCAGGAACCAGGTGAGTCAGTTCCAATTTCGATTGTTAATTCTAATGCTAATGAGCATATTCTAGATAATACAGAATCCTTATCCATTACAATGTCAGACAGACTCAGGATGAATTTGAGAAGACGTACGATTGATTACAAACACCTAGACTCCAATTTAAGCTGTGGCGGATGTGGTGTTTGAATGAACCAGTGATACCTTTGTACTTGTTGAATGCTTGATTTCTAATTCCAAATACAATACATCCGTTTGTGCTTGTGTCTGACTTCTTAATTCAATTGCGTTATTTCTGGGATTCCTATTTCATACTATAATTCAGACAATTCAAATATTATAATGGGCCATTTGCTTGGTGCCATTAGGGACCGTATTCAAAAAATAATCTGGTGCAGGCCAACTTTGAGGTGTATTGTTATTTGCAAAATGGTCTTGATGGTTGAGTTCGTAGGCTCTGTTACAGCTACTTACGTTACTGTGAGTGTGAGGAGGGTCTGCTGCACGTAACTGTAGGTAGACATAGAAGCCGTTTTTATGTAGTGGGTTGGTACTGAAGGGTGTGAGAAGTTTTCTTCCTGAGAGTAATTACAGTTGTGATCCTGAGGAATCTAGACTGAATGTGGGGTGAGAAACCTATTATTATAATGGCTCATAATAGTTTTAGGCTTTAGCGAGTGAGTGGAATTATCAGTACTTTGGTAGTTTTTGTTAGTCTGCGTGTAAAAGGACTTGTTACGCTCAAGCCTACTACCCGTTTCGCAACTAAGAGGTGCTGACGTCAAGTTATATGATATCAGCGGGGAGAACCTGTTCACTGTCGTTGGGATATCTGCAGAGCAGTTGGGTTCACTCTTACGTGTTTCCCTGTTCGGTATCCTGAGTCTTGTCTTCCCACCCTTTTTCGTCAGAGCTGGATAGTTTCGTCGTCTCTGTGAGATGAATTTGGGTTCATTCGAGCCAACTTGTGGAGTATATTTAGGAGGTCTAATTATCAAGTGTATATGTTTAGTTTGATGTAGGTTGTCACACGGCTCACGGTTTAGTACTTTACTGAGGGAACAGTCGGGATTAGACATGTCGTTATGCTTTTTGGTGACAGTTGGTGTCCGTATATTATCCAAAGGTTTCTGATCAGCAGACGCATCTAGATCTACAGAGTGAACTGCCATTTGTGGAGTGATGTCATGCTTATTGTTCATGTGCTTTTATCTATTTACTGTGCTGAAAATTGTCTCTAGCTAATTATTTACTTTAGCATTATCATGCAACCCTATCACTTCACGTCTTCTTACGCGACGTTGACAAGGCGTAAGGTCTGGAGTGACTTTTGTGCTTTCGTATGGAATTATTGAGCTAATATTTTTGCTCGAATCAATAAACTGTTTAGCATCGTTACGACAGCCAAATCTAAACAGTAGAGGGCATGTCTATCTGTCTAACTTTTTCCAAGGCGGATGACTTGGCAGTTGACGTTTACTATACCGCATGCTATAAGGCAGATATCCTTTAACTTATTTTGGTGTGTGCAGCCAGGTAGATTGTATGCAACTGACTTGTAGGATGACATCACTCTTTTCATCACTTCTTCAGGCACAAACACCAAAATACACTCAGCTTTAGTGAGTTGCTCAAAATTTTTATCAGTATTAAGGTCTCATATGTGTGTGGGGGGCGTTACTTGTCTAAGTCTACCGTTAAAGTCGACTAGGGAGTTTCGTAACTGATGGATGTCAGTGTTATGTCGATCAATGTTTTCATATGTATGAGATAAGCTATTAGACGCCTTGGTTTTTAGAATTTTAGATTTGGGCCTTAGTAAAACATGCTGTCTGGTAGACTGTGTTGACTTTTTGATGCACGTGGGTATATTGCCTTTATGTCAGCCAGTCTTACCGCCAGCATACTGCACGAAAATATAGAGGGGTTGTCAAGTGGAGAATCAGGTAGTAATAGCGATATTTGTTCAGGGTTCAGAAGATAAAGGCTCAACATTGTCAGGTATTGAGTCATCAGTCATAGGGGTTACAGATGTTGAACTATTATTTGGCTTAAAATTTGAAGAAATTTCTCCTTTACTAGAGTTACTTGTCATAATTTGAAGCTTGGTGAATAGAGGGCTCGTTAAATTAAATAAAATAGCTGAGTCCATAGTTACTGTTAAGTATTAACCAGGCTAATGCTAAGATCAGAAACTATGTGTATATAACGTATTTCAAATATAAGGTGTTCGATTATAATGCAGTAGCGATCATTGGAATATATTTAATCCAATTAGTATGATCAAATGACAGAGACGCGTCAATGTAAATTACTGGAGGCTTATACAAGGTATGAAGGAAACGAAGTACGCAATATTCGTGTATTAATTAGAAATCGTCCGTAGAAATTATTTTCCTGGGGCAAAATGTGCTCAATATACAAGATAGGATGAAAATCTCAGTGGAAAACAGCCTACAAAATGGTAAGTCAAGAAACTTCTAAACCACGTGAAAAATTGTTACCACTTTGAAATTTCGCGCCAGCATCGAATCATCCCAACATGAGTCAACAAATTACCAACATATTATTTGGGGCGACGCTTAAAAGATTGCATAACAAAAAGTGAAAACACCGGGTACCCCCCACTTTTTGATTTGAAGTCGCCACAACTAGATGTACTCTCTTAGTAGAGGCAAACGTAGCTTCCTCAGTGTATAGCTTAAAGAGATTTGACAAATATGTACTCATCCACAGATTACCTTCTCCCACGTGGATCAGTTGTGCCGAATTAATGTCTCATGATATACTACTGTTATCACTTTCACATGTCAGTAACTACCTTCTGTTCCGCTTATTGTTATATGCGTTTTAACTTCGGCCTTGTCATACTGTCTTCATTACCAATAAATTAACTTATTGATTTTTTCCTTGAAACGATCGCATCCTGATATCACCCGAATTACCACTTTATTATTTTCCATATTGCAGCCAACCAACATCCTGACTAGCACTGTGATAGCTGCTGATATCCAAAAGCTCAACTGCTCAGAGAAAATCGCGCTCACTGGAATTGTTAAGTACACACATCCACAAATTGGTGCAGTCAAATGGCTAGACAGCCATCAAGTGTACATTGCCAGATATCTAGAGTTTTATCGAAAAGAAGAGAAACAGAGACAAAGAAATAAATCTGTTTGTAGTAACTTGTGGCAAAAGATATTGAAAACTGATCCGTGTAATTCTGTTTTAATTTGTTAATTTTACCATTGAATATTATCACACAGATTCTTTTCTGTCATCTGTTTCTAATCGCCTATTGGAAATGAACGTAGTAGGTGAATATATAGACTGGATGAACAGGATTTTTAAAACAAGCATGGAAAGAGCAGGTATTTATCGATTAGGATGTGTTTGTATCCCATATAGACCCCAGAGTCTCTTCGATGTTCCTAATGAGTTCAGTGAATGGTTTATTATATGTGATCATTGCCTACCTAATATTAGTTCATTATGGGTTAAAGTTCATGAAAGGAAGGGATCCTTTTCGTATAAATGGACTCGTTTTTGTGTATGATTGGATCATGGTAGTTATGAATGCCTATATGGTATATGAATCTATAGCAGTCGCATGTAATGAAAATTATTCGTTGTATTGTCAAAAGGTTGATTACAGCTCAAATCCTAACGCTTTGAGAGTAAGTTTTTCTATTTTGAGATCTTTTTACCGTTATGGTTTTTGTTTAAACCCTGTTCTTAATACTGTCCTATCAACAACTTATCACCTGATTAAATAAGCATTTACTAATGATTAGTCATGACAGCTCCAAAAGATCCACTGCTTATCGTCTTTGCTTTTTCAGTTTATTAACTACTATTACTCATGTGATCTCCGATTTCAGGTTTAAAACCCGAAAATTCCGCTGCAAGCATCTTTTTTTTTTCTGTTGAGCTATAGACTTCAGATTTGAAAACTGATTAATACTTGTAGTGTAATAATACTGGCTACGAATAGTTGTATGAAAACTGTCCAAACACGCTGAACACCCAAGACTTGTTAGTATTACCCTCGGAACGTCTTTCAACGAACCGTTTCAAAAACCAGTGAAACCAGAGATCGAAAGTAATGTAAGATGTTATATCAGAACTATAGGCAGGGGTATTGTAGTGTATAGAATCTAAGACGGCTGGTTGTCGAAGAAGTTGCGTTGCATAAAATATTGAAAAGTGATTTGATACGAATGCTTTAACTGAGCATCTCCGGTTTGTGGGTTATCCAGTTGAACCTGTATGATTAGTATCAATATCAAAGACTGACAGCTGTTTACTTTAGGGATTTACCTACCGCTGCAGCTATATTATACCTTTGCCTTGATAAATAAGGTATGCGCTTAAGAGCATACAGTCAGCCTGCTTAGTATTGTGGATGAATGCTGAGATAAATTTTCATGAGTTGTACCGTTTGTCACCGATTATTTCATTACTTTATTAATCTTCCATGGACTGTAGGACCTCTGTATTTTCTTATGCTATGTGGCTTATATTCTTATTGTGTAGTGCTTAAATCTGGTGGGTTAAGGAATATTACATCTAAAACATATTTAATAACTTTATTTATCACTCTTCAGAAGTCTGTAATTTGTTGTTTACGAAACCCATTTACTTTTATTAATTATCGTATTGTTTTTCTACTATCGGTGCTTTTCAAAATTAGTTTGCTGGTGCATTTCGGATTTTGTTATTATTATTCACTGACGACAGGAAATTTTATAATTTTAAAACGTAGGCTTAGAGAGTTGTACCAATGCAATACTCAAATGGAAGGATATCCTAAAATAGTCGAATTTTTAACAGCTTGCAAAGCAATGCTTTGGGATTGAACTCTCTTCCAATACATGTGGTTAGCAAGATCTATACGTTCATGAAGGCATTTGGAAAAAATAAGTCTACAAAGCGTTCAGCTGACGGCTGATCTTGGCAGATTTAAGTGACCACAAGAGGACAAGCCAGTTTCTATGGAGTTACCATTAAATCAAAGCTCTATGGATACTGTCTTTATCCTGAAACTGGATAGAAATTGATTGAGTGACAAGTTTTAAGTTTTAGAAATTATAGGACGCTCAAAAGGTGACATACATTCATTCACATGAAATTTTTTGAATGTCAATAACTAAGGTTCGTGTAAACAAGTACAGACAAATAATTCGTGCTCAGTACATGAGCAATAGAAAACAGTCTATTGTTTATCATCACAGCACGTAGTTTTTGTAAATCATTCTTATCTTTACGGTAAGATTGTCTTCTAGGCAATAAAAATTAATCTAATATAAATTCATTAATATGAAATTTATTTTGGGAAAGAATGCTTGATAATACAAAACAATTTTATGTGCTATACCATTAATTACTAAATGAAATAATTTATTTTGACATCAATCGTGTCGATTGACAGGTTTTGTTGACTTTACGGACATAATCTATGAAGCGAATCGATAAATTTAATCTTTCAAAAATTTCGATTCATTGATAGTATCCCTTAATGCTTTTGAACTTAACCACTGAAATTTTCTAATTTATCGAAACTTGATCTAATGTTTTAAATAGATTTTAGACTTTCTAAGTGTTAACTAGTTTTCAATGAAAATCATATCCGCTCGTGTATAGAAGAGAAGTTGCGTAAGATAACGAAATAAAATATTGAACTGTCATTTGTAAATAATGTTCTCAGTATGTATGTCACTAAATTTTCATTTAAGCAAGAGATTCCGGCTCTTACGTTTGTTCGGAAACAACTTTAACATCTAAGTCGTTTCATGTTAAGAAATACGGAGCAATTAGATAGTCATACTATGAGATTTCTTAATAATTTAATTCCTTATTATCTCACAAGATTTACCACATAGCTAGACAATCTATAGAATATATGCCATCTTTTGCGCTTAAAAATTGCTCGAAACTATTAAAATTATCTAAAATTGATTCGACACTGAAGGTCTTTGGCAAGATTCCCGGTAGTAAGGTCGTGAATGGACATTACCGAGTAGCCTTATATGGTTTTTTAATTAAGATCAGTCCATGTAGTTTATTGTGCAACTAAATAAATCTCCATAAACGCCCCATAGTAACCATTTTCTGGAAATTGAGAACACATAGTGTATATCGTAATATATATACCTTTAACGATTGATTTGCTAAGATGTTTGCATAACAGCTGTTGTTAATACTCATTTCAGATCAAATCTCTATATTTTAAATATGCAAACTTTAAGTTCTCACTTAAAAGCGTGTATTCAAGTTAACTTGGCTGAAAACATATTTCATCACTTTTTTGGAATGAAATTATCATTTTTCAATTAAGTCCTTGCTGCAAGCTATTGAAGAATCTTAAAATGTTACGTATGATCAGCAGGTCATAAAACAAATATAACTAGTATAACAGATGCTTGTAAGTTAGAGAAGATTTACTACTTCACTAATCAACGAACAACTTGTACGTTTGCAGGTAAAAACAGTGCCTAAAATCACTATCATATAACATAAAATATGGAGTTTTCTGGAAGAAACCATAATCGAAGTAACTAGGCAAAAGGTAACAAGAGCCTGGGTAAGTAACCTGCAATTGGCAGGACAGCGTCACCACCAAGTGTCGGTTTAAGACATTTCTTTCACTGGAACATTGTACGTTGTTGACGCTGATCTAATTCTTCTTGATCTTGCCTTGTCTTACAGTGTTCATTTGCCTCGTAAGGCCATTAGTATCGTTTGTAATTAACTTTTGTTTGCTATGTCTACGCACAATTGAACTGAAATAATTTCCTAATATTTTTGAAGATTATCGAATCTTTCCAAAGTTATGCAAGGACTTTTTGACCAAAGCCAAATGTCTTTTTAGTGTTCCGATCCAAAAAACTAGCTCCTTGACTAGAAGAAGTTGCCCATTAATTTGTTTTCAATTTAAACTACAATGGTGCAATTCAATGGGCAAGTGCAGACGTTTACCTTGAGAAGTCAGTCATCTACAGCGTAGAGCCAGGCACATATATGCATCGATCCAAATTGCTATACCTCATTAGCACAACAATACAAGTACCAAATTTATCGAATTAGTTACTTCAATGGTAGTAATATGTTAAAAGAGATTGCATATAAACATATGATACAGGTAGAAGGCCTTAGTTCATACAAACAAGGTGTAAAGCAATTTTAATTTCATGGTTTAAGGGCAGACAAAGGATGTACACACCTACGTCATTGTGATCGATTCTGAACCATGTCACACAGTCTCCAACTACCACTTACGGTAGTCACACGGTCCCCAACCAAGTAGTCTGCATGTCCCAACATGACTCAGATCAGAAGTTAGTGACTTTATGGACTGTTGTCACGTTTTGGTTTGGTAGCCCCTAACTTTCTTCCATCCGTCTTCAACACTAATCATCATTGCGTACCATGATAATCGGTAGTTGGGCATGCGTAGTACGTGTCCGAACCACCTTAGTCGATGAAGTTTCACAACCTCATGAACTGATTTACCATAAATCCTAATACCTAGTGTCTAACTTCACTGTTACTTACCCGGTGATCCCAGTAGATGCGAGCAATATTTCTAAGACATCTGTGATCAACTACTAGTAACTTACGAATATCCTCTACGCTTAATGACCACGTTTTTTAGCCGTAAAGTAGAACGGAACGAACTGCCGCTCAGTATACTTGTTCTTGAATTGATAGACGGATATTTCTTCTTCACCGTAGGTAAAGTAAATTGGCGAAAGCTAAACGAGCTTTTCGGATCCGTGCAGTGATTTCGTCAGACACTAACCCATTAGCGCTGACCAGACTTCCAAGATAAGTGAAGTTGTCGACGCGTCCGACCAAAAGACTCTGCGTCTCATCAATGTCTTTGAGAAAACACTAAAAGAAGATGATGAAATTGCTGAAATTATTTCTCAAATAAGAGCTGAAGTGATACAAATAGTTATCCACTACACATACATATTTATTTAAACACATAAAAATTGGTAAATAGAGGCACCTAATAGATATGCACTACATAAATCATTCAATTTATGTGAGGGCTGGGATATTGCCCGTGTTCCCAAACCGAGGCAGATGGTTCTCTCGGGAGGCCACTCCCGAAGCCTTTGACATAGAGGTCTAATCCGCAAGGCAATGGAGCAACTTTAGGAGGTGCAGTCCCGTGATAACCGTAACCAAAAAAAGATTCATATGCCATTTATTTCGTTGGGATCCTGCAGCTCATGTACACCATTGGTTTGGAATCAGGGTTTTCCGACTCCTAGGTATATCCTCCGTATCCACCAACCCGGTTAAAGCGCCGGACATTCGCTTTTTGTCCTCTCAATTTTATAAACAATCCTGCTACAAGAAGGCAGTGGTTGTATGCATGTGGCTATGCGTGAGCATTTTCAGAGGGAGAGCTGACTCTCGGCCGAACCAGGGCATTTGGGGGCATGCCTACATATACATACAATCAAACAGTTCTAGCTTCAAATTATGGCTGAATAAATATTAGAAAAGAACAGCCATTTCTCAAATAACTACATGTGTAGTAGAGAAATAAAGCCATAAGTTATATGCAGACTACTTAAATGGTACTGTAAATGGCAGTTACTCATCGGATGATAGTAAGCTATAGGAGATGAAAAATGTAAGTCAAAAGATATGATTTGTTCTTAGTACCTAAATGGGTATCAAAGTGGTAACCGTGAGACCTACCTGTCCCGTGTTCGATCTATACACTTTTAAGGGAGTTGGGAACGTAACAGGTTATTTATCCAATGCTTCTTTGTTTTACTAGCTCTTCAACCGAGACCAGTCTGTAGTGACGAAACTATCTTCATCACTATAAGTTATCGACTATTTTTGTTTGAAATAAGAAAGTAACATGAAATTGTTTCTCTTTTCTATTTTGTTATACAGTTAGTCCGAGCTATTTGGTTATTTCATATATCAAAAGTGATAGAATGTTTAGATACATTCTTTTTTATAATTCGTGGTCGAACACATCTTGTCACATGGTTACATGTCTATCATCATTGTACAATGATTCCGATAACATGGGCTGGAGTGAAATGGGTAGCTGGGGGTGAAATATTCCAACCTGTCGCAGTTAACTGCATGATTCATGTGATTATGTACAGTTATTATGCATTTGCAGCTCTTGGACCTAAATGGCGAAAATACTTATGGTGGAAACGTTACCTAACAATGCTACAAATGGTTTGTTCTTTTTTTCGAAAATAAGCTAACACTTGTGTACTACATTTTTTGTTGGTGATGAACAATTGCTATCTATTATTTTATAACATTTAACCATTTAGAAAATGGAATATCTTATCTGATGTGTATATTTGGCGGACAATACTACATGGTTGAAATTGTTCATAAACACGTTCCAAATTGTCAAATGCCAATAGATCGTAGAATTCGTCCGTTTATCCTAGACCATCAATTAAACCTTTGGCAAAAGGTGTATAAATTGTATTTAGAAGGTCAATTTAGTGTTAATTTAATAATTTCATGTTTGATTACTATCAAAGTACAATTTGAGTGTATATATATCCAACACTTATTTATATTCATATAAAGTGAACAACGAAACTCCAAAGCAAAAGACTAAGAGAAAGAATAAAGACAGCAAAAAAGATGCTTTAGGATTTTTTTGGCCAATTCAAACTGATTATATGAAATAAATTTGAACTAAAAAACTATTTCGTTAGTCATTTCATCTCAATTTTCTCTTAAGAAAGTGAAGTCACATGGAATTATTATATAGTTCGTGGGTGAATATAAAGAATTTATATACTTAAAGAAACGTTTTTGTACTTTGTTCTTCTTTCCTTTCCTTGGATCCATTTTCGACAAACAGTACCAACTTTCAGTATTTAGAAGGAGGTTGTTGAACTTTCACAATATGGATCAGCAACAGATCTTAGACAATCCTTGAAGAAAAAGATCTGGATGGTTAGTTTTTTTTAAAACGGGACTCTTCGGGTCTATGGATCCATGGCATCACCACTTTGTGTGAGCGTTTAAAGGTTTTAGGTTTGATCTCTTGAAGGACTTACCATATCAGGACAAAATAACTATCAAGTGCCTTCTGATTTTTCAACTAACATCAGCTGATGACGTATGATACCAGAAGTTTTTATTTGATAAACGGTATTCAATAGTAAATTTTCGCTTATCAAGGATTTTTTTTATTTTCTTGGCAATCGAATTTCATCAGGGGTCCAAAGCTCTGAAGTTCATCCGGTGAAGTCGAGTTTAAAGCTCACAGACGCGACAAAGTTTACTTAATGTTGTAGTTCATTGGTTCAAATAACTGAAACTTAGCTGGTAGATCTTCAGGTATAACTCTGTATCTGTCTTAGACAGTTATTCCAATCCTTATAAAACACATGTGACTTAGCGTCTAGTGAATAACATTTTGCTTAGATGTAAAGTGTATTTTCGATTCAGATACCAAAGCAAATGACTTGTACAACGTATGAACTACAATTCACAAGAATTCGCACTGTTAGATAGGTGGTTTAATTGTAAAGTTTTCATCGTCTTTCTAGACAATACTATCAAAACACAATTCTATTTTTGATTTTGAGTTATAAATTTTTTTCGATTCTCTCAAAATCATATGCACTGTAAGTTGGTAATTTAAACGGATGTAACCAATCGAAGCTATTTATTGAATAGGAATTTTCAGTTTTGAATATACCTAATTATTTTTCTTTCTCTAAGTATTTTTTTAGAAAAAAAAGTTGAATGAATCCATATCACACTTGTTTTCACCTTCTTATACTCATATAGATTCAATTTAGCTATGGAATGCTTTATTCTTACATTTCACTTTACAACCAATGTGGTCTGAAGGAATTTGTATATTACATCAATTTGCTTTATCAAGCCAGTCTTCTATTACTTTTCTATAATCATTATCACCATGCATATCATAAATCGAAAAACCAAAAGTTATGTAAAGCAGTAAGTATATGTTTATGTGAATGCTTTTCGTCGTTTTTTTCTAAGACTTTATCTTTGCCACTGAAATATTTCTACCGATAGATATTTTGTCCACAAGAACCGAATATGAATGAGAAAAAATAAATACTGTTAACAATTAGGCTATATGGCTTAGATGTTCATGTTGAAATGTTCGAGATGATCAATAAAATTAATCGATGTCAATGATTGAACTAACACTCGACGATTGATCGAGGAAAGTATTACTTATATACTTATTTACTTACACCTGTTACTCATCGCGGAGGAGAATAGGCCACTGACCATCATTCTCCACTGAACAATGTCCTAGACAATCGTTTCCAGCTGCTATTCATCTTTTCCATGTCTGTTTCCGTTTCCCAATGCAATGTGTTCTTTGGTCTTCCTCTTTTTCGTTTCCCTTCAAGGTTGCAAGTTAGTGCTTGTCTCGTGATGTAGTTTGATTTTTTCCGTAATATATGTCCTATCCACTTACAGAGTCTTTTCCTAATTTCTTCTTCAACTGAAAGCTGGTTTGTTTTCTCCCACAGTAGGTTGTTGCTGATTGTATCCGACCAACGGATATTGATTATCTTTTGTAGATAACTGTTTACAAACCTGCACATTTCGTTGATGATCGTGGTGGTTCACCAAGTTTCAGCTCTGTACAGTAGAAATGTCTTGATGTTCGTGCTGAAGATTGTGACTTTGATGTTAGTTGTCAGTTGTTTTCAGTCCCAAATATTGTTCAACCGTGGGAATGCGACCCTTCATTTTCCAATCTTCACCTTTAAATCTGCAACAGATCCTTCTTGTTCATCAATGGTGCTGTCCAAGACATGAAAATTTCCACTTATTTCAAGGTTTCTCTATCAAGTGTTATTGGGTTGGTGTTCTCCGTATTGTATTTGAGGATTGTGGTTTCTCCCTTGTATATATTGAGGCCTATTGATTCAGAGGCTTCTGCCACACTGGTTGTCTTGACCTACATTTGTTGGTGTGTTAGGTCCAAATTGTCTCATTACATGCAAGTTATTCATTGTGTCCCGTACTTCCCCTAATATACGGAGTTCTTCAAAATCCAGTCAACCACCAGAAGAAAGAGAAAAGGGAGAAAGTAAGCAGCCTTGTCTAACTCGAGTTCTCACTTGGAATGAGTCTGTCAGTTGTCTTCCATGCATGACTTTGCTCTGTAATCCGTCGTATGAATTCCATGTGATGTCGACGATCATCTCAGGTACATCAGGGTGTCAAAGAAGGTTCCATAAGGTTCTCCTATCCACACTATCAAACGCTTTCTCATATTCATGGACGTTAATGCATAGTGACGAATCCCATTCAATTAATTGTTCAACGATGATCCGTGGTGTGGCGATCGATTCTTGCGGAGTCCGGTCTGTTGATTTCGATGTTGGGAGTCTACTGAATCTTTCATCCGGTTCAGCAACACTCTGTTGAAAACTTTTTCCGGTACCGTTAGTAGTGAGATGCCTCTGTAGATCTTAGTGCCTCTTTATCTGACTTCAATATAATCGTATGAATGATTTTTATTAAAATATTCATGTCGCCAATCCTCGTATATAATTATTGATTTAATTCACGTTGGTGAATAACGGAATTAAGTAAATCAAATACGAGAATGCGTTTGAATATGTATATTCCATACAACTGTTGATCCAGACTAACGATCTGAGATGTGAGCGAAACGAAATGACGAGCGGTGGAGAAGGCGTGTAAACCAACTCGATTTAACCAAGTGTGAATTGATCTTTATAGTCAGTCAATGTTGATAAGCGAATAATTAACAAGGTCAAAATGCGACTCAAGAATAATAAATAAATTGGCTTGTCTGGAAGCTAGAATAAGCTATGTGGGCTTTACATAGCAACCGACACTACAAGTAATCACATTTGCTCAGATTTCCTTTCTTTCGTATCTTAATGAGACATCCTTGTCTCCAGTCTGTTGGCTGTCGTTCATCATCCCAAATCTTCTTGAATAGAATGTGGAGCATGTTTGCAGTTACTTCAGTGCTTCGGCTGGTTTGCTATCAGGTCCGGCTGCTTTACAACCCCTGATTTCTTTGATCGTTAGTGGAGTGACATTTATAGAAATGTCGGTGTGTATTGCTTAGATATTCGGTGGATTCGATGGAGCTGATCTATTCAAGAATACCTCGAACTGTTCTACCCATCTGTTCCTCTCTTTTTGAATCTCAGTGATTGGCTCACCTTCCTGGTCCTTGAGTGGTCTCTCTGGTTTACTATAGTTCCTTACCAGTTTCTTCGTCATGTCATATTGTTGTTTCATATTTCCTTCTCTTGTAGCTTTTACCCTTGTTGTTGCCCAATCCTAGTAGACCTACAAACGGAATTATTACTTATATCGCCCAAATGTAGTCAGTTTTTTTCATGATAAAATAACGTTTATCACACTGTAAGACGAAAATCTTTTCGAAAAATTTCACAGTTCTGTCAGTGGAAAGTTCAATTCGAGATAAATTCTCGTTATTTTTTTTATAGGAAAAATAGTTTTTATCGTATTTCCTGTTGAACAGTCACAAAGAATTGTATAACTAAAACATACTGATGAATATGCGCAGGTGGAAATAAAGGCAGATATATATATTTGTTCACCATACAGTTGGTTATTTTTACATATTTCCTTTAAAGTTAGGTCGTATTACTCATTTTATACATTTATTCTAATGGATAAGTAAAAACAAAACAATCTCGAACACGTTTTGGCTTCTTTTCCTAACGTGTATACACTACTCTAATTATTTAAGATTATACTAATTATCATATTTATAAACAGCGTTCTAAAGACTTGTAACCGTTTAGAGAGAACGAAATAAACAAGAAAAATTATTATTTCTCCTAAGTGTATTTCTCAATAAACGTCTCATTATTAGTTTGCATATGGAAAATATTGCATGTTACGAGATTAAGTGAACAACACAAATTATGAATGAAAATCCATTCAATATACTGTAGACTGTGTATGCATGATATGAAATATCAATCACTTCAAAGGAAGGAACTTCTTTGAAAAGAAAAATTGTATTCATTGTAACGTTTTTTTTTCAACTGCAGTTATAAAGTAATTAGATGAGTCTGTTTATTTAACCTTTACATATGTCAAATAATTTTTTTTCCCATGACCTTACTTATGATTGGTTGTCATTTGAGATTGTTATCGTTGTATAAATTTTACATTTCCCATGTCTGATTTTTAAGCAGTTATAGTCCTTGACCGTATAACTTGTTTGACCTTTGATATTATTGGTCAATTAGCTAGTTCTATTTCATGGTTTACTATTTGGGGATTTTCCTTGTCGGAATTTTGTATACTGTTGTTCATATTGGTCAATATAAAGGGTGAAGTGTTTGTTGATATTATCTGATTGACATCATTTCTCAGTGTAAATAGTAACAGTTTATGTGACGTTTTAAAAAGTTATTTATTTATAACAACTGCAATTGTTTAATATACCTTGATTTCGCTAGAACTGTTAGTGGGTGGTTGCTCGTTTTCTTAAATACTTAAAGTTTATTCCCTTTACAATGGATGCACTTCAGTCATGCGAATTGTACGAATTGTGTGTAACATGTAAGAAGCTTGAAACATCCTTACGAATTGACTTCATTGGCGTAGATTCAGTGTGTGTGTGTGTGTGTAAAGTAGTGATAATCACTCGGTCTTCACATTTCACGTAGTAGTTAGGATAGTGAAAGCAGGGTAATACTGATCGGCACTCATTAGTAGTAGTATTTAATATTATTACTAACGACTGAATGTGTCGGAGACAACACATGCATCTATACGAATATTCGTAAAGATTAGAACGAATAGTTTGACAAAAATTGGGCGCCGAGTATAGAGAAGTCGTTATATGTGAAAACTATATATATTATTTACATTTCAATCGCTGAGGTTATTTCAAATATAATTTTCACATAATTATTTCGAACAGGTGTGAATCGTCCCAAGTGCAGTCACGACCTAGTAGCCAAAACTCGGTTTACAACTGTTAGGTTAGAGATACCATTCTCACTTAACTCAAGTATTGGGGAGATTGGTAGAATCACCACAGCTCATAAATAAGTGTAACATCCAGCTAAATAAATAAACCTTTACCCGATGAATAAGTTATGTTAAGAAATAAAACGACTAGGTTTAGGGCTTTCTATTTGTTGCATAAATCGAACTCTCTCCATAACTTTCATAACAATGAATAAAATGACTTTGAAGTTATTAAATTAGGTAACGATCGGTAAAAATATTCCACTACAGCTTTATTTTAGACACTTTTATTAGATGTAGACATTTATAACTAACTGAACTGTGATGATGAATGTGAGAGTCGTAAACTGCTAGGCTAATTGTTGTTGCTTAACGTCAATCACAAAGGGACTTGTAAGTTATATGGATTCTGGTTTCAAGAGACTGGAATTCAGTGATTAATATTTCAAGGTGCTCTAAATTATAATTCATAACAATCCTGTGAAACAACTAACGTCTCTTGTGTTTAGAATACATAGTATCGGCCTACTAATACTTGTCTTCATCTCTCTGCTCATATGTCTATTTCTACTGAATTTTCGTAACTGTTTTATTTTTCTTACGCTGTTTTATATGGTGTAAACACTAGAACTTGAGTGTTTTCAGATCTCCAAGGTTGAATGTTTAATGAGAAGAGTGTCATGTGAAGTATCACATGGAGCTTCAGCTGTGGGCTTTTTTCTATGAATGGATAGTTACAATACATCTCAATTATGCTGAAGCTACTTTTGTAAATAAATCTTATTATTACGTAAATCATGAACATAATTACTAAATGAATAGAAAAATGTTCGTATTGATTGCGAATTAAGTATTTTCTGTTTCTTTTTTCTCTTCTAATTTAGACCGATGACAATTCAATAGACATTCATACAAATGGAAATATTAAAAAGGATGAATGAGATTAATCTATATTATTTGGTTCTTTCAACCATTAATTGACAATATCTTGAATATTATAAAGATATATGTAAAATGTATATTTTTTACAATGACAAATAATACGAGAATGTATACATAAAATTATGATACAATCTCTAAACTAGTGAAAACATACTTCTTTTCTTTTTTTCTTTTTGTTTATTTCTTCTAAAAAGTATTGACATAATACTTTTCCATTTATATGAATTAATATTGTTTAAAAAATTTCTAAGTGTACCACTTCCTTGTTTATGTGTAATAGTAAACATTTTGTGCATAGACTTTATTTCTTTGTCTAGACCATTTTCATAAACGTATTCTTTTCTAAAGAAAAGTATCCATAATTTGTACATGTGTAATGAATTCAGGTAGGTCAATTATTTGTGTATTTGTACGCTTACATTGTGTGTAGAGATCTTGACGATCAAGTTAGCAGGTAAAATACTTAATTATCAAATTTTAAGTTGTATATTTAAATTGTTATTTAGTTATTTTAGTTAGGAAAACCGAGGAGTATTTACAGCCGTAATACAAAAAAAGTGATCAATCAAACTTAAGTAAATGAAGGTGTCAGTGGTTTCTGGGTTAGATAATCATTTTGATTGTACAATAAATAATTATTAGTAGTAAACTGCCTCTCTTTATTCAGATAGTTTCTGTTATTGTAATTAATTTTCACAATAAATACTTAAATTGAGTTTATCAAAGTTAGATTTTACAAAAACTAAGGCATATCGTTTTCTGAAAAGACGTAATTCGAAAGGGAAACACGAAATTCAGCTAAGGGATCTCTTTTCAGTGAATTAATTATCAAACTTTACAATTATATATATATATATATATATATTGATTCTGTGAGCGCATTTGAACCATAAATAAACATGATGAAGTAATAGAAAGATTACGTAGTGTAAACAATAACAACAAAAGAGAGTGTGTGTGTATGTATCTGTGGAAATAAAAAGCCTTACAAACTTAATAAGTCAATAATGGATTGTAATTTGAAGGGAGTGAGATAGTTAAAACGTTTTTGTTACACTAATTAAAGATATTCGAGGGATTAAATGAAATAAAGTGATATCAGAAACAATTATGAATAGATTTGTGGGGATATGCGAAACAAATAAGGAGTGATAAATACTATCAAATACGAAATCAATGGAACTAAAATGTGATGATAGTTTGAGTAGATTTGTACGTATTCGATAAACATCCTGCAGATAAGTGAAGCGGTTTCGATCTAATTTATTCTAATCACTACAGGTTGGTTTTATGGTTGTTTATAGAATACGTACAAATCTACTCAAACTTTTTCATGCTCAACTACTTAAAACATCAGAAGCTTTTAGTATCCATAAAACGAAAACGGAACTGTGCGTACAAAACAAGTATTCTTATTGTTATCTTCACAGTGGTCTTGAAATATTATCACATTTTGGTTCCATTGATTTCGTATTTGATAGTATTTATCACTCCTTATTTGTTTCGCATATCCCCACAAATCTATTCACAATTGTTTCTGATATCACTTTATTTCATTTAATCCCTCGAATATCTTTAATTAGTGTAACAAAAACGTTTTAACTATCTCACTCCCTTCAAATTGCAATCCATTATTGACTTATTAAGTTTGTAAGGCTTTTTATTTCCACAGATACATACACACACACTCTCTTTTGTTATTATTGTTTACACTACGTAATCTTTCTATTACTTCATCATGTTTATTTATGGTTCAAATGCGCTCACAGAATCAATATATATATATATATATATATATATATATATATATATATATATATATATATATATATATATATATATATATATATATATATATATATATATATAATTGTAAAGTTTGATAATTAATTCATTGAAAAGAGATCCCTTTGCCGTAAATTTTGTTTTTAATCTTCTTAAATACTGATTCATGGCATTTTACAAATCTCGTTTTCTTAAAACATCCTCGGAAGTACTTTGTTATCAGGATATATAGTTGTTCCGAATGTAACTAATTTCTCGTCTCTTAAGCATTCGGAGTCGCTGGCTTTTTGTTCTTAACAACCATCTACATAGCCATTTGGAAAGCACAAACAGTTCTATAATTAAGACGTTTCATGCGAAGTACATCTCAGTGGTTGATCCTACACTAGTAACATCTTTATGTTTTTCATGGCCCTATCTTCAACGGTTTCACTATTTGAGGAGTGATGTTTTCAATGCATTATCTCTTTAAATGACTCACTAGTTTAGAAACCTAATTTCTTATGTCTTATCTAATGGTTAAACTATCTCAGTGATGTTTGAAGTTTTCGGGCTTAATCGCGGTGGGGTTGTAGAAGGGCGCTGCTAGAGGTCTACTACTAGGAGGAAATAGTCGTCAAGTTATTTCTTGTTTTCAACAGCTGTTTTAGTTTTTTAGATCTCAGATATTTTCATTAGTAAAGATTTTCAGAACTTTCCTTAGTTAAAATGTAAATTAAAACATTGATCTAAACATAAAGTTCTGATATGAGTACTATAACTTGGTAATTTTAACCGAATTATAATTAGATAAGGTGTTTATGAACAAAGATGAACTGATTTGCTACATCACAACAGCTAATTTCCTACTTATTTTAATCTCATGTTAGTTGCCCACTCGATGAACGAAAAACTTTTACAAGTTCACGTAGTGGAAACTATACTATTTCCAATCAAATTTAATCAGACGTCTGTTACGTATGCCAAAGGTAACGATGTTTAAAATGGAATCGGTTGTTCAAGTTAGCCCTGTGTTTTACACTGAAGTCATTTGTTATCATAAAATCAGTATTAATGACTTATCGGTGAATGTTAAACTAAATTTATGGTTAAAACTACTCAGTAAATAAATAAATAAAGACAGAACATACTAAAAGAATACACTTTAGTCAAAAACACAAATAAGATTGTTTTATTTTGCTAAAAATATTCATCTCACTTATTTACAGAATGAAATAAAAAGTCAAGGCCATACCTTAATTAGCTTTCATTTATGACTATAATTGATAACTTCTCAAACAACTGGACTGCATGATGCCTAGGGCTGTAGCGAGGTATGATGCCTTAACCCTAAACAGCTATCATTTGCCCTATAGCGCTGTGTTATAAATTGGTGAAGAAACCCCGTTTCACCTTCAAATATTCTTACACATTCGCGTGTATATAGCCTCTGTTATAAAAGTGCTTTTATTAAAGGGAGATTGAAGAGATGCATAGTCACATACGGAACTAAGATGGATAACAAAGTAGATTCGGTTCATAAATTTATTATGCCTAAATTCGAAACTAGTGGTTAACAAGAGCTTTAGAATACTGAGGGATCAAATAACATGCAAACCTACTTTGGTCACTGATTACTTTTGGATTACATCTATTGGGGTTGTTGATACTTTAAGTAAAAAAAATCAAATGCTCCAGTTTGAGCTTATTAAATACATGTAATAATATTCAATAATAAATATAATCAACTATTTAATAATTACGAACCGGTAACTTGAGTGTTAAACTCTATCTAAATTGGTTAACTGTGAAAAATTTGTCTATCATATATAAACATGCTATATTAATGAGGAAGAATGTATTTGTAAAATCTCAGCGAAAGAATTTGAAGTAAATCCAACGTTTCGCCTGGCAATCCTTAAAAAAGCTTGGACCAGATTGTTAAGCGAAACGTTGGATTTACTTCAAATTCTTTCGCTGAGATTTTACAAAATATATTCTTCCCCTTTAATGTGTAGTGTGGCGTCAAGTCACAGTTGACTATGATCACTACAAGGAGATTGCCCACCAGGACAGGCTAAACCTCAGAGTGAACCAGAAATCAGAAGGCGATTGAAGGTTGTAGGAAGATATATTTGTTGGCGATCTTGTGGTATCAAAATAATACCGAGATCTTGACAAACGAGTACAGGTGGAACTACTGAGCAAACGTAAGTTCGTGCAACGTCACAAGCAACAAAGAATGTGTGTTTTTAGTACAGTAAAACAATCCCTGGTGCAATTGGTTTTAATAGTAATTGTTTCCATTACACCACTCGCGTTCTGTTGATAAAAGTGGGTCACTACAAATGTCTCACATTAACTCTGCGCTCAAATACTATGAAACAATTGGATCAAATTTAGACGAGAGTTCTTATTTATGGGATATTAATATTGAAAATGAAAATTTTTTGTTTATATTCTAATATTACTAATAAGAAAATTTTACAATGAAACAGAAATTCCATAAGGAAATTTTTTTAAAAATTTCTTATTTGAATATTTTAAGCAAATAGATGGGCATTGTAAGCAAGGATGGATAGTGGCTAGTAGTGGAATCCAGTGCGCACGTTTCGTCCTATTTGGGACTCATCAGCTGGATGCACCTGAATCTCAGAGTTGATGTCCACTCTGAGACTCGAACGCAGTACCATTAGCTTCAAACGCCATCGCGTTATCCACTTAGCTACCGAGTGGTTATCAGGACGCCTCGTTCTAAGTGGATCGCGTTTGAATAAACGGTACTGGGTTTGAGTCCCTGAGTGAGCATCAATTCTGGGATGCAGGTACATCCATCTGACTAGTCCGAAATAGGACAAAACGCGCGTCCTGGATTCCACTGCTAGCTACTATCCATCTTTACTTATAATGCTTGTGAATTAAGGCAATATGCGCAGTATGCACGTATGTCAATAAGAGACTGATCAATTGCAATCCTAAACATCAATGGTTAGATTCAAGTAAAACAATACCAAGTGAATTAATTAGATGGGCGTCTAAAAAATTCACTCATTGACATTCAGATACAGTTTCTTTCTTTAAAAAAAAGGGATTATCAAAGCCGACGATACACCTATTTTGGTCAGAAAGTTTTATTTTATTCACAGTTTTCTTGTTATTACATGTAAAATAGAATTAAACATTTAAAGTAAACATGCTTTACAGAAGAAAAATGTTTTTAGTGACTTATTTTTAAAAGAAAACTAGGTACAGATATTTCTCATGTGTGTATATGTGTGTGTGAATATAACTTATCTGTTTTGATTTATCAGAGGATTACTGTACTTTAGGGCTGAATAATAGTTTCTACAAGGTTATTGATTAATAAATATAAAGTCGATTGTAGATAATGTAAAACATAATACAAGTTATCTATACTGAATTTGTACAGAATGAATATATTAACCAACTGTATGAAAAATAAGTAGTATAGTATGATAGTAACAAAAAAATGAAATAAAATTTGAAGCTAGACATAAAGGAAGTAAGATGG